GGCCGCTGTCCCGCGGGCCCCGCCCGCCCTGATCCTGCTTTGCTCTTGTCTTGCCGCGCCAAGGCCTCCGGCTTTAAGAAGCCCTCGCTGGGAGCCGCGTCCCAGAGGAAGAAGGTGAGTCCCAAGCTGGAGCTCAGCGAGGAGCAGCAGCAGGAGATCCGGGAGGCTTTCGACCTGTTCGACACGGACGGCAGCGGGAGCATAGACGGGAAGGAGCTGAAGGTGAGCATCTGCCTCGTCCCAGGAGCGCAGTTCTGCGCATAGCAATAGGGGGTGACCGCCAAAATGACCTTAAACAGGAAAGGGGAGATTTCCCTCCCCCCAGCATAAAACCTTGTTGTCAACAGATGCATTTTTCTCTTCTCCTGCAGCTCTTTACTGCTGTATCGGGTGTCTTTAGGGCCGGGCTGGCCAAAATACGTTGATAGTTCTGCATTTTCTCAACTGTCGCCTTCTCTGTTAGTCAAACAGCAAAAAGAGTTTGTGCATATTAATAAGCGGGGTGTTTCCCACTTCGTGTGTGTTGCTGAGGATCGCATGCTTTGCAAATTAGGTTGTCCAAGCTATAGAACGCACCAATGTTACTAATTTTCATGCTTTTTATTTATTGTGAAACGTTTTCGGTCCCTCCCCACCCCTGTGGGAAGAACAATAATCCATACATCAGGACTTCTTTTGCTGTCAGAATTTGCCCTTCCGATTTGCTGGCCGTGTGTCCATATTGCTCCAGATGATCGCGAGATCTGATTTCAAACTCGCCGACTGTCCCTGTGTCAAAGGAGGAACAAGCAGAGCGTGTAGGGGTGCACACAGGTGTCTGCAGGTGCAGGCATCCTTGGATATGCTGCTTATAGCAGTGTTGTCAGAAAGGCACGCTTAGGGTTTGAACTGTGTTTTCCCAACATTCATTGAAATAGATTTTTGTCACTAGGATGAAAAATGAACTGGTTTAAGTTCCCTGTGGTCTACCAGCTGGAGACCCTCCATGTTTGTGCCATCAGATCGGGTTGGCAGAGTCTGGCAGAGTTGTGGGTATGACAGAAACTTCTTTCGTGGAGTTTCTTGTCTTGAAGTTATTTTGCCGAGACAGTTCTGGGTCTTCCATTTAGCTATCTTGCTTCCAGCAGGGCCCGAAATAAGCTCTTTTAAAAGTTATTATTGTTCATTGTCTTGTTTCTCATTGAAAAGGGAATACTAGTAGCAATTCCCTTGACAGGAATGGAATAACATTCCATTTTCCAATAGCCTTGGAAATTGCCATCCACACAGGACTGTGTGACAGTTTGGGATTTTTCCTTTATTAATCGAGGTGGGACCCTTTATGTTCCGAGTTCCCATCACAAGGATTTGGAAAGTACATACCAAAAAAGGTATGCTAAGGCTTTATAAAAAAATCCAAATTTTCTCAGAAGAAACATTTCTTCCGAGACTCTGTTATGTAGCCTGACCCTCCACATTCTTGCCAGTTCTGAGCTGGGGTGGTGGATGCGATGGTAAGAATGTGTTTAGGAAATTTCTGAATTAACTGAAGGACAACTCCAGAACGTGAACGGTTGCGTGCCTGTGTTCTGCATCGTGATGTGCCCTTGTGTGTACAGAGGAGGCATCGCTCTAAGTCTGCCCCTTACCTTGCTGTTTCCCTTGAGACACAGAATGCATGTTTTAACATGATATGGCAAAAATTTAATTTTTTTTCCCCTCCGTGGTTTTCTGTGTAGTTTTGTATGATTTATAAATTGGGTTTGTCCTTACAGGTTGCCATGAGAGCACTAGGGTTTGAACCTAAAAAAGAAGAGATCAAGAAGATGTTATCAGATATCGATAAAGAAGGAACTGGAAAAATCAGCTTCAGTGACTTCTTGGTAGTGATGACACAGAAAATGGTATGTACATTTTAAAAGTGAAAGTCATTTTGAAAATGGCTGAGTACCTTTCATCTCCTTTTGGTTTTAGTGGAAGATGAAAGCACTATTTTAACAACAACATATATAAAAGTTAGAATTGCAAAACAGGGACTACCCTATCTCATTTTTCAAGGTAAGGTTGAAATAATTATGTCATTAAGAAGTTTCTTTAACAATCAGTTTTGTGTGTGTGTGAGAAAAGGGAAAAACTGAAATCAAGATTTTTATCCCAGATTAAAACCAGCTCTGGCCTGCAGAAAGCTGTCGGGAGTATTGACACGTGACATGGATGGCTCGGTAGCAATCCATTGTATTTTCTTTTCTTGGGTTTTAAGATATTTACAGACGAAAACTCTGGTTTTAAAAATCTTAAAACATGTTGAGTAAAGGCAGATACTTCACAGTGGAAGATCCTGTTACTGAAATCCCAAGACGTCTGGCTAGATATGAAAGAAAAAAAACTCCCTGAAACCCCAAGGTTCAGGAAGCGTCGCTGTGTCTCTGCCGACCTTCAGCTGTTGAGTGTGTGATTCCTG